TATCATCAATAGTACCAATCTGACATGTGTCCTTGGACTGCAGTAAAAAAAGTGGGACATGTGTCACCTAGAAGCTGTTACAAAAGATTTAACAGTTTGGTTATTTTGTCCAGTTGGACTCAATTCTCCACAGCTCCCGCTTAGTGACTCCACCCCACAGCTTTCACGCAGACACTCACTATATAACAATTTGGCCGCTAGTGTTAGAAAAGGTTGATAAAAGCAAACTGAAGAGCAGGGCGGACAGTCTCATTTTCCGAGTTATTTTAGTCGTGTTCTCTGGGTGTTGTCATTAAACTATGCGTCTCGTCTTACAGACAGATATTCGTGCATTCCACGTATCAGTGATAAACAGAAAGCTATGTTGATTCTGTGATACATTTATTTCTTTTAGCTGAAAGACAACATGACTTTCACTTCTGTTATGTTTTGACTGAATTATTTACAAAATGATTAAACTATTCTGCTTAGTATGTAATGGTTCACAGAAAGGACTTGGCATGTTGGGGGGTGTTTAAAATGTATCACTAGATTTCTCTCTCCATAGATTGTGACCCCTTTATGCCAGTGGTATGTGCACCAAAGGTGCCAAGAGCTGGCCGGCCCCCCTTAGTGCTTACCAGGTTGGAAGGTGCCTACTCTGCTCAAATACAGTGTCCAGGGGGAGAATGGTGGCGGTGAGGGAGCTGTAATCTTCATGATCTTCTATCACTACTCCCTTGTACGCCCTGCGATGATGCAGGGAGCTGAGTTATGGCGTCACTCTGGCTCCAGTATCACCAAACAGCGAGCAAAGAAGAAGTGCTGGAAGAGCATGAAGATTACACAAATCCCAAGGAAAGGATCCACACTGAATCCCAAGGAAAGGATCCACACTGGACGCCAAGGAAAGAATCCACACCGAATCCCAAGGAAAGGATCCACACTGAATCCCAAGGAAAGGATCCACACTGGACACCAAGGAAAGGATCCACACTGAATCCCAAGGAAAGGATCCACACTGGACGCCAAGGAAAGGATCCACACTGGATCCCAAGGAAAGGATCCACACTGGACGCCAAGGAAAGGATCCACACTGGACACCAAGGAAAGGATCCATACTGAATCCCAAGAAAAGGATCCACACTGGACGCCAAGGAATGGATCCACACTAAATCACAAGGAAAGGATCCACACTGAGTCCCAAGAAAAGGATACACACTGAATCCCAAGGAAAGCATCCACACTGAATCCCAAGGAAAGGATCCACACTGGACGCCAAGGAACGGATCCACACTGAATCCCAAGGAACAGATCCACACTGAATCCCAAGGAAAGGATCCACACTGGACGCCAAGGAAAGGATCCACACTGGACACCAAGGAAAGGATCCATACTGAATCCCAAGAAAAGGATCCACACTGGACGCCAAGGAATGGATCCACACTAAATCACAAGGAAAGGATCCACACTGAGTCCCAAGAAAAGGATACACACTGAATCCCAAGGATTGGGACATTATCACTGAATCCCAAGGAAAGGATCCACACTGGACGCCAAGGTAAGGATCCACACTGGACGCCAAGGAACGGATCCACACTGAATCCCAAGGAACAGATCCACACTGAATCCCAAGGAAAGGATCCACACTGAATCCCAAGGAAAGGATTCACATTGAATCCCAAGGAAAGGATCCACACTGGACGCCAAGGAAAGGATCCACACGAAATCCTAATGAATGGATCCACACTGAATCCCAAGGAAAGGATCCACACTGGATGCCAAGGAATGGATCCACACTGAATCCCAAGGAAAGGATCCACACCGAATCCCAAGGAACGAATCCACACTAAATCCCAAGGAAAGGATCCACACTGAATCCCAAGGAAAGTATCCACACTGGACGCCAAGGAATGGATCCACTGAATCCTAAGGAACGAATCCACACTAAATCCCAAGGAAAGGATCCACACTGAATCCCAAGGAAAGCATCCACACTGGACGCCAAGGAAAGGATCCACACTGAATCCCAAGGAACGGATCCACACTAAATCCCAAGGAAAGGATCCACACTGAATCCCAAGGAATGAATCCACAGTAAATCCCAAGGAAAGGATCCACACTGGACGCCAAGGAATGCATCTACACTGAATCCCAAGGAACGGATCCAGACTGGACACGATATTCTATCATTGTACATTGGACCACAACTCCCTAGATTACTACTTTTAAGTCGTTGGTGATTGTTCCACCCACACTACAAATACTGAGCAAATCCATTGCTCATAAAATTGTGAGCATATTTTCAATTCTCTACAAATATAATATTAGGCAGAAAGCTCTTTATTCCATCTCCTTTTTCTTAAATGTGTAAACACAGCTGGAGAACAAGTTTATCAACTGTATCCCTGGTTGGGGATTATACCACCTTATATCTGAACATTTGAGCTTTAATACAACACTTATTGTACCCTATATTTTTTTAATATTGCATTATTGGATATTACTCTGTCATTTGATGTTTTTCTCGGCAAATAAACTAGGCAGCCACGCTGACAGAAAAGTTCCAAACTTACCTTGGTTGCAGCGGGCAGCTGCCTGGTCTCCCTCCATTCCGGTCCCCAGCTGGTGCGACATTCTTAGGAATGCCGCTGCGGATCATGATTTTATAAGAAGCTTACCTTCGCCCACATTAAAGATGCGTCAATGTGCGTGCGATGTCACGTCATGGACCTGCACGCACGTTTTGGGGTCAGAGGTCAGAGACAGCCAATTACAGGCTAAATCCCAAACTACCTTTTTGCCAGTGCCCTGTTGTAGTTTCCACTAGTGTGTTCCTAATTGTGTTCCTAATTGTGTTTTTTTCTGGTATTTGACTTTGGCTTTGTTTTGACTTCCCTGACTTCTGGCTTTCCTCATCGTTGCGTCTCATTCTGTGTCCCTGACCTCGGCAAGTATTTTGACTATTTTCTGGTACGTTAAGTCCGGCCATTCTAAGGTCCGGTTAGACATTATCCTTAGTCTTTAGGTGTGATACAATTCTGTGTGCTGGATCAACTATAATCCTGACAAAGTTATACTGGGGCCTACAAGACTGACTCTGCCTACATTTATATCTGAGTGTGGATAATACTACATGCTGATATTACTGGAGCTTGTATGTAAGCTCAAAAAAATGTGAGTGGGCATTTAAGCACTTTGTTGTTTGTCACTAACCAAGTATTCTAAATACTACACAATTAGTATTCCTCTTTCTCTATCTTCTATCCACATACACACCCAATGAGGACGGAACAGATTGCAATTAGAATAATTTCTGGACTCTGTTTTATTGTTTATGTTATTCTTGTATTTAATTTTATATATTCTACAGTATCTACTTTTTGTTCCCTTTTTTTACTTTAGTTATTTATTTTATAATTTTTTTACGCAAACTGTTGTATGCACTATTTGTTCACTCCTTACATACACAGTATTAACTTTATGTCATATTTATTTAAACAGTATTTTTAGCCCTGCATGGGTACTTCTCTGTAAAAAATTGAGAAAGCATCAGAGGATACACCAGTATCCACATTGGCAATATCAACATTTAAAGGGATCCTATAGTGACAGGAAAACAAGCCAGTTTTTCTGGCACTATAGGCTCTTGGAGAGCCCCCCTCACTCGGGACCCCCCTTCCTTGGCGCTGAAGGGGTTAAAACCCCCTTCCGCCACTTACCTTAATCCAGCGTCGGGCTCCCGGGTGGGCTCTCCTCCCCCGTCGGCGCCAGCTCCCGAGTGGAGCCGAATGCACATGCGAGGCCTGGGGCGTGCGCACATTCAAACCCGCCCATAGGAAAGCATTACTCAATGCTTTCCTATGGGGATCTTATCTGACGCTGGACTCCGTGAAGATGTCCAGCGTCAGATAAGTGCGATTTACTCCATGTAAATTGCGGAAGCGGCCTGTAGTGGCATGTCAGGGAGACAGTCACTAGAGGCTGGATTAACCCTGCAATGTAATCATAATCATATGTTTTCAGCTACAGGGTTAAAACTAGGGGGACCTGGCACCCTCATTGAGCTGGAGTGATCTAGGTGCCTATAGTGGTCCTTTAAAGAAGTCTCTTAACGTGTTCATACTGTATATTTTGTAGTAAATGTAAATGCAGTATACGTTCATTAACTTCCTGTAATATTTTTAAACATATTCTTACAAAAGAAACCTTCAGGGCAGGAGATGACTCATACTTTGTTTTTCTTATATATAAAGAAAACACAAAACTTGCATTTGACATTTACAGTTTCTACAGTGACCTCTCACGATGTTATGTTCACTTAACTTTCTATAGCACTTCTGTGTTTATCTCGGCAATGCAAGTAATGACATTATCTAAAGCTGTATTTTAACAGAAGAAAAAAAAACAAAAATCAGGGAAATATTACAGAATAGGAAAAAAAGGCCAGAAAGGGTCGGCATGTGGTGCAAAACTCATGATTATTTAAAACAAACTAAAATAAAAGACCCTCACCCAGTATAACAAGCTGTATTCTAACCTGCAGATTGTATCAAACTGATGTGGGAGTCTGGAACGTCCCTTTAAAAGAATCCTCGGGGTGCCTCTCTGGGGATCCCTCATCTATTTATTATTAGAATTTCAATTGATCTTGGGCAAACTTTAGAACAATCTTTGGGGTGTAAAACACAGCGGACTCTGCTTTGAAGTTTGCCCCGTTCTGTTGTCAATGAGGAGACTGAAAGGTCGCCAAGTGTCACTGGATCTCGGACAGCGGAAACGTCCGTCCTGTATTACAGACGTACTTTCCTGCCCCACTCTCACCGCGGCTAATCGTCAATATAAATACACCCGGTCTTGCTTACAAACATTCCCAGTAATCCCCTAATTGCGGCCTCATTATACACTATTAATAATCATATTATTTTGTATTTTCCTGCCTGTTCATAGTTCCAAATCCTCTGCCTTTTTTCTGTAGTTAAAGGGGATTATTATATATGTAATCACATTAGCGAGAGGGCCTGTGTCCTGAGCAGATTAAATACTTTTAATGTAATTTGGAAGATGGCTAATCTTATCGCTTATCCTTTATAAAGTCGGAGTATTAGGAGCAAGTAATGCCATTTCTCAATGTCTGATTGTCATGGGACAGACAGCGTCAATTCCTCGTAAAAGCACTGCCTACGTCCTGGAACTGCATGAATGGTATAGGTAATTTTTTTAATATTTTGCTAAATGAGTGATATTTTGATAAATGTTATCCTCTAAGTATATTTTAGTAAGGTCTGGATACAAAAGGCAGTAACTTGACTGATTCAGTTGACTTGATGTGAAACTTTCGCACGGACGATATTTGTAATATTTGCATGAAGCAAAAATGTAGAATATTTGGTGTCGTTAAAAAAATAAATGGTTGAGAAATAAATGAAAAGAATTAACAATAAGTCAATTAGTATGAATACTTTAGATTAGACATATGACAATGTAGTTTACAATTATTCATAAAATATTTTTTTTAATAATCGGATTTATAAAGTAAAACAAAGCCGAAATGAATGAGCAGTATTAAGAATGAATAGTATATTTGTATAAACTCTTGCTTTCATTAAATATTTAAACAATTTCTGCTGCCGTAAAATAGCACAATATATTTCTTGTATTTAACCAATAACTTAATCTATGAAGTTTACAGAAAAACAAACAAAAATTTGAAGGAAATAAATCGTAACAATTGACAGATTTTTCTAAATAAATCCAAAGGAAAATGATGACGACTTATTTTGGTATAACAGAACATCGCTCAGTTTGTTATTGTTGTAGACAGAGTTTCTTATCTAAATGAAATCTTTATATAAAGTTAAAATGTATACACTATATAGCATTGTATATGTATGTTATTGTTGATTGCTTTGTAATGTAATAATTTATTTAACAGTTTTTATTTATAATTATCATTTTATACACACCATTGTGGAAGCGAAACTTGGCGAGCTGATGTTCTCGCATTGCGCCCATTCTGAAAGATACTTGTTTGGCTAAAAAAACAGTGCAGAAAATCTAGTTAATATTCTCTGATTTAATATAAAAATTAGTCTCTCATGGGAGGAAGCCATACCACGCATTCCTGTTTTAGAAAACAACAAGCCGTGTACATTTATTATCAGTTTACCAACATCTTTTACTAACTCTTTATTTATTTACACGAGACAGATTTGTAAATCGATATTTAATACACATGTAGGAATGTTAATAATTAATTTTTTATCTACAATTATAATATTCCCACAATTCCAAAGGAAGAAGATAATACTAGAGGAATTGCATTAATATTAGTTGACCTACTGCCCAATCTCCAGCCACACCTGATATGTGAGTTTTCAAACAAGAGTTTGATACGATTTCTGTCAGAAGAATTTAGACAATGTGTGTCTACATTCTGTCACGTTAGCAATGGTGTGTGTGTGTGTGTGTGTGTGTGTGTGTAGAACTGAAGGGACGGTCAGAGCCAATTATAGCAGTAGACAGCGGTGGAGATAAATGCCTATGGGGCACACATTGTGCGTGGTGCTTTTCTATGTTTGCGATCCTTGCAGCCTGACGCACACTGATATCGGGTTCTATGGCCACAGAGTGAAGATATACTGTACAAATCTGCAAAATATTTTTAATTTTTTTATTTAGCAAAAATAAAGAGATTTGAAAGTGGAGAAAAATATATGAATATGGAATACTCTTATTTAACACTAGTTGTGTTGGTGGCTGTGGTGTCGCTTTAAAGGATCAATCTAGACACCATAACTATTACAGAACTGTCCCCAAGGTAAAAGTCACACCATTGTCCATCAGTTGGCTACTTACCTGGGTCACCCAGTCACCTGTGGACCAGCCCCTCTTAAATATCACTAAATAGTAAGGTGTTTGCTAGTGTCCTATCCTTTAGATTGTAAGCTCACAGGCTAAATAGGCACTTTGTATAAAAAGAGCTTTAATTGATACGGGCAGGGTCCTCTTCACCTATTTGTCTGTGTATATTGTACATTCTCCCCTAATTGTACAGAATGCTTTATAAATGCCAGTAATAAATATAAAATAACAATATTTGGATCTCATTTGGGGGGCGTATAAAATGTATGCACTATTTCAGCAGAAGGTAGGTTTAGCACCGGAGTCTATGTTTGTTATTCAGTGGCATGTGTGGACCTCCTGATAAGACTTCGAGCTGTAATGCAGTATCTTGGTTACTTTGATTTGTGGGTAAAGGGTTCTACGAAGGTGCAGCTATGTGTCTTGCTACATGTTTTACGTGTCGAGTCCTTCCCATGGGTGATACCTAAATTAAAAGACACTCACCCAGCATAACAAACTGTCTTTTTGCAGGCGCTTGTCTCCTGCCATGACGTGGGTTCAGGTGCTGTCCCATTTTACCCGGGTTTCACAAGCCTGAGGTTTGTTTTTTGCTCCAAGAGGTCAGCAGTCCATTGATTTTGGTTGCTCATGCGGGTGGAAATGATGTGGGAGGGTTTGCACAGTTGAATTAGTGGATTTTATTAAACCGGATCTGGCCAGTACATGGCCCTGTTTTCCAGTGCTTTCTTAGTTTGGTACGAGGTGGTTCCTCATCCGTGCTGGAGCCCTTGATCATTTTAAATCTTTGGAAAGGGCTAGGTGTAAGCTTAATCATTGAGTTTCCCAGTTTGTTTGCAGGGTTGGAAGCAGGGCCGGCGCCACCTATATGTGAAGTAGGTGCCGGCCTAGGGCGCACATTTGGAAGGTGAGCCTCCTCATGCGGCGCTTCTAAAAGTGCCACGGCAGCATCCACGCCGTGCGGCACTGATGAGATAGGCGCCGGCGCCACTCAGAAAAGAACGATTGAGGGAGCGTCGGGAGCGCACACAGTTCAATTTGTATTGCGCCGCCCGGTACTGTATTGCCCCGCCAGCCGAAGCTGTATTAGAGCGTTGCTGTGGGTTACCGCAGCAACGCTCTGATGCATTTCCTGGCGCCTCCTGGAAGGAGCTGCATTTCCCACCGGACGACCAGGGAGCCGGATTCCCCTTCCCTGGCCAAGGTAAGTTTCTGGTAGGGGGAAGAAAAATTAAATTTTCTTGTATAATTTTTTGGGAAAAGAAATATATTTTGAAACCTTCCCCATATCCCTTTTTTAACTCCTTACATCGCTACTAGTGCCCCTAACACCCCGTTATAAGTCATAATCCCCCAATACTGCCACAACACCCCACTTCTGCCCCTTACCACCCACTACAGGTCCTAACCCCCCAATACAGAACCCCACTACCCCACTACAGCCTCTGACCCCCCACTACCCCACTACAGGTCCTAACTACCCAGTACTGTTACTGACCTACCACTACAGACCCTGACTCCTGGGTACTGCCCCCAACATCCCCCTACCCCCCACCCACAGGTTCTAACCCCCAATACAGAACCCCACTACCCCACTACAGCCTCTGACCCCCCACTACCCCACTACAGGTCCTAACTACCCAATACTGTCACTGACCTACCACTACAGATCCTGACTCCTGGGTACTGCCCCCAACATCCCCCCACCCCCCACTACAGGTTCTAACCTCACACTGTTGCTTTACTGCAGTCTGGACAAATGAGCTGCCCAGGCAGACCAGGACAAGAGCATTAATACTGGCCAGTTGTCAAGTCTGCTGTAGAATCAGTCCCTCATGGATGGGACATATGTGATGTTATGACATGTCCGAATCATGTGGGCAGGACATTGTGATGTCACTACATGTGGGGAAGGCAAAATTCCTTGCACCGGCCCTGATTGGAGGAGTAGTGGTGCATCATTATGAGTTAGGGGGGGATAATGTGGACCTGATGTGCCGGGATGGTGTCCATCTCCATGAGACTGGGATGGACATATTTAATACAGGTATTGAGAGTACTGGGAGAGGGGGTATCCTGGGAGAGGGTTTGCAGGAATCGAACTCTGGAACTGTGCTGTACGTGCACAAACTTAGCCAAAAATTCTTTGTTTGTTTATTTTGTTTCAAACTGCTGTGAAATATTTAAAAATGACAAGATCAAGATATTGTAGAATATTTTTCTGATGACAAAGCAAAAAAAAAAAAAAATATCAAACAAAACAAAAATCAAACAAAAAGAAAACCGGTTCCCTCACTTAGCTGTGTCTGCAGTATTTAATCCCTTTCAGCGAGCATGTCTGACACAATCCAGTCTCAGGAGCTTCCAGCATCACCTGCAGAAAAAAAAACACCCAGATTTCTACACGCCAGGAGACTGACGGTGCTCTAAGAATGTCCCTCCTGGGCGGTCACATAGTGTATAGAGGGGACGCTAGGTGTCCGCGTTAGGAGAAAAATGGTGGCATTTTGTGTGGGCCTGTTTCTATTTACATCCCACACCTGATGGTATCTTCCATATTAGTAATTCAGAATTACTCTTCCTTATTTGTGCCTTTTTTATAATTTCACAATGGCTGTATCTTTAACTCTTATATTCCCAACCCGCACACCACAAAGCTATGGTGGGACATGATTCTGCTACATCAGATGTCACCCTCTCGCTGGGTCATTGCAGGTAAAGGGGGATGTCCACCATCTTTAATGGGACACTCCAAAAACCCCAAGTACTTTAGTTTGCTAAAATGCTTAATGCGTGAAGAGGGTGTCCTTTTTTTTCATTTTAGAAAAAGTGCAGGTTTTTAATACAAATTGTCACTTACACGCACATGGCTGTCAATCAGACAACCAGTCCTTTTACTTTCTGGTTTGGTTTGCTCGGTAGTCTGAACTCAAGAGGCCGCAGTTGCCCAGAGCACCTGCTTTGCACAGATTTCTGATTGAGCTGCATTGGGATTTGGGAAGTCAGTGATTGGACAGTCACAGAAGGTTTGGGCAGGATTAGAAGGGAAGATTTGTAAAGGCAGCAGGAACGAGATCTGCATCTTTTACAAGCTGTTTTTAGATAAACGCCCAATGAAAAAATGCGTAATTAAATCCAGGTATGTTTTAATTTGGGGTATATCTACTAAATAGTGATTTTTGTTTTGTATTTGAACAGTGGAGTGTCCTGTTTTATTAAGACCTCTCTATACTCTCATTGCCACATTACATTGCTCTTATTTGGTAGTTTAATTCCAGTAGATTCATAGCTAAATTGTTGTATAAAAACGCTGACTGCTATTATATTGTCAAATATATAACATGTTTCACATCTATGGTATGCATTATACTTTTTGAATGATAAATCTCTCATTTAAAAATTCCAGAAAGTTTATTGAAGAATGTCCCAGCGGACTAATCACACTCCACGAATTCAGGAGATATTTCGGCGATTGTACGGTGGGCAATGAGTCTTCGGAATACGCAGAGCAGATATTTCGCACCTTAGATAACAATGGGGTAAGTAAGTCTCTGGGGTTTAACTAAATTCAGAATTGTCACAAATTAAAATCCATGTGGAAAGATTTAGGCTTAAATAGCTTATGTGGAAAAATGATCAAACTCAGCTATAACTTGACTATTTTAGACTTAATTTCACTTTCTGATTTTAATTTGTTTCATGCTGTGTCTGTGTTTGATACATTAACATCAGGGAATGTTATATGAATTCCTGTCCGTAAGATACGGGCTTCGTGGGGAGACTGAATGAAAAGAAGACGTCGGTGATCGCAGACATTTGTGAAATATATTTCATATGAAGCCTGGCATAACAACTGTGTCACAAATATCTCTGGGTCCAAAGTTAATTATCACATCTCTGGTACATGGCGAGAGAAATGAAAAACACCCAAACATGCGCGACAGAGACAGAGACAGAGACAGAGAGAGATCAATAAATAGATGGATAGATACTGGATAAATAGATCGCTAGATGGAAAGATAGATATACAGAAACTGGATAGATAGATACATAGATAGATACATAGATAGATGGATAGATAGATAGATAGATAGATACTGGATAGATAGATAGACAGACAGACAGACAGACAGACAGATACTGGATAGATAGACAGACAGACAGAAACTGGATAGATAGACAGACAGATAGACAGACAGACAGATAGATACTGGATGGATAGATAAATACTAGATAGATGGATAGTTACTGGATGGATAGATAGACAGACAGACAGACACATTGGTTACTTGGAAAATATGATGAATTATGATAAATAATATGTAACATTAGTTATAATAACTTTTTTTCAAGGTTTTTTTCCCTTGAATGCATATCATGGCTACCATTTGGGAGATAAGGGGGGCACCAATGCCGGCCACATGCCTCCAGATTTAGGAAGCTTGCAAAGTAAAGTCTCTGGGAGCTGGACAGTTCATTAGCCACTAATTGCCCATCAACCAGAGACAACAATAAGGAGTCAGCTACCCTGAGATGGCATCGGGTGCTTTGAGGTTACATTCTATCACTCACTGCCCATCTGGTGCCCGGGGCTGGAGGAGCAGGAGGGGGACGGTGAGACCCAGTGTAGACTCTTCTGCTTTGCCAATACTAAATACCAGGGAAAGCTACCCAGAGCCTGCCTCTCCCTCATCTATGAAACCTTACTACTGCAACATAAGTTCCCCTTTAATCATCTCGTTGAGCCATTACTCTATCTCCAAACATTCTCTCCATTCTCCCTACAGGATGGGATTGTTGATTTCCGTGAATATGTCACAGCGATCAGCATGTTGGCACATGGCACCCCGGAGGACAAGCTCAAATGGTCCTTTAAATTGTACGACAAGGACCGAGACGGGGCCATCACGCGGTCGGAGATGTTGGAAATAATGAAGGTTTGTAAAAACTATATGAAAGTCGAAACTCACAAATTCTGATATTTCTGTCTTTAACCCTTCGCTGCCAGAGTTGCCCTCCACATATTGCTGAATTACAGAATAAATTACTGGTACATAGACATCACAGTCCCAGCTGGGGAAGGGGCACTAAATGCAGGGACATCAGGAGAAAGGATAATACATTATTATTATCAGCATTTATATAGCACCAACGTATTCCATAGTGCTGTACAATATAATAAAGGGGGAACCAAGCAAAAAAAGAGACAATTACAGAATGTTACAAGAACAGGTTGATGAGGAGCCTACTCACAAAACAGAAAATTAAAGAGAGATAGTACTGTATAGCCTATGACCTGGACTGAACTGTTCTAATTTCTCTTTTACAGGCTGTCTACAAAATGAGTCTTTCTACTTCAATTACGAATGTCAACCCAATGACCGCGGAAGAATGCACCAACCGCATTTTTATTCGGCTAGATAAAGACAGAAACGGTAAATCAAGCTGCGAAGGAAGTGACCAGTAATATCTAGAATTCTTAGAAAACTTTGATTAATCAGCAACCAACCATTGGTAGCGAGCTAAGAAATGCTTTATATCTTTGTAGACATTAAAGAAATCAATTTCTATATTTATATTCACACATTAAAAACCTTCAACAGTGTGTTATGCAGTGCTTTAAAATATAATGTAGGGATTTACAACCAATATTAATGTTACAAATGTTAACAATCGGTTAATGAGCTTACACTCTATAGGCGGTGAGGTGTAAGACCCTTTTTACTTACCTTTTTTCCCCCATATTTAATTTTTTATTGAGTTTTCATTTACATACAGCATAGAACATCATGTACTCAATTGGCACACACACAGTAAAACGAGAACAGTATAAGAAAAGAAATTAACATAATTAAATAGAATTAACACAGTAACTGAGTTAGGTATCACATCACTTGTACATATCTGAAATGTAGCTGTATCCAGGATTATTTCCTCATGTTTTATTTTTTAATGCAGCAACAGTGCCTCTAGTGGTGGTCAGTGTCAGTGGCTAGAAGTGGATGTAACCCAGCAATATAAACATAGCAGACTCTACAAAACAGTAATGTTTTACATTGAGGGTTAAAATAACAGGACCACTGCACCCAGACCACTTCACCAAGATACACAATTGAGATACAGCAATGAGATACAGTGTTGAGAAACAGCATTGAGATACAGCATTGAGATACATTGAGATATAGCATTGAGATACTTCATTGAGATACGTCATTGAGGTACAGCATTGAGATACAGCATTGAGATACTTCATTGAGATATGTCATTGAGGTACAGCATTGGGGTACAGCATTAAGATGCATTGAGACACAGCATTGAGATATAACATTGAGATATAGCATTGAGATATAGGATTGAGATATAGGATTGAGATACATTGAGATATAGGATTGAGATGCATCATTGTGATACAGCATTGCATACAGCATTGAGGTATAATGAGATACAGCATTGAGGTACAGCATTGCGGTACAGCATTGGCATACATTGAGATATAGGATTGAGGTACAGCACTGAGATATAGCATTGAGATACATTGAGATACAGAATGAGCTACAGAATGAGATACAGCATTGAGGTACAGCATTGAGGTACAGCATTGAGGTACAGCATTGACATACAGCATTGAGATATAGCATTGAGGTACAGGATTAAGATATAGCATTGAGATACATTGAGAAATAGGATTGAGATGCAGCATTGAGATACAGCATTGAGATACAGCATTGAGATACAGCATTGAGATACAGCATTGAGACACATCATTGATATGCATCATTGAGATATGTCATTGAGATACTTCATTGAGATATGTCATTGTGATACAGTATTGAGATACAGCAATGACATACAGCATTGTCATACACTATTGAGACACAGCATTGAGATACAGCATTGACATACAGCATTGAGATATATCATTGTGATACAGCATTGTGACACAGTGTTGAGATATAGCGTTGAGATATAGCATTGAGATACATCATTGAGATACAGCATTGAGATACAGCATTGAGATACATCATTGAGATACAGCATTGTGACACAGCGTTGAGATATAGCGTTGAGATATAGCATTGAGATACAGCATTGAGATACATCATTGAGATACATCATTGAGATACAGCATTGACATACAGCATTGAGATATATCATTGTGATACAGCATTGAGATACATCATTGAGATACATCATTGAGATACAGCATTGAGATATAGCATTGAGATACAGCATTGAGATACATCATTGAGATACATCATTGAGATATAACGTTGAGATGACATGGTCTGGGCGACTTTAATGATCATTCACATAATGCAGTATAGGGATGTATATTAAAACTAATGTCATACTACCACCTGCTGGCAAAAATATGTAATGCACACTATGTTCACTATTTATATATCGCCAAAATATTCCTTGTAACATCAACGTCCAGGAAATGAAAACAGTTTTAAGGTGAACAGAATGAAAAAGTGAGTTTCCAATGTGTATATAATAATTTACAGAGAAATTGTAAATAACCCAATACTATCTGACTTTGTGGAATTAATTAATTATATTAAGTTATCTCCGCATTTATCCTGGCAGTTGGCCATTGGGCCTTTGGATCGGCTTTTTATCGAGTAAATCGACCAATTATTTTTACTGTATATCTAAACTACCTATTCCCTTGACAAGCTACGAATCGGTCTTTTCACCCTGAGGCCCCAATAATCTAACCATTCATCTAGAAATCTGTAGAATCTGCTTATTCATCTCAAGAATCTGCTAATTAACCATGAGAATCTGACCACCCCTTCCCCCAATCGGCCCATGCAACATAAGAATCTTCTCTTACACTCAGACCATGAAAATCTCTCCATTCAGCCTGAGACTCTGCCTATCGACTCTGAGACTCTGCAACGGGTTAATTCGGTGTGATTTCTGATGCTAAATTAACTCTGTACTATTTTTCTATTTTTCCAGCTGTGATCAGTCTTCAGGAGTTTATTGATGGTTCGCTAGACGATGATTGGATTCGAGATATGTTGGAATGTGACCTCAGTACAGTGGAAATTCAAAAACCGGAGAAATGTCTCCAATTGCTCCCGCGAGCATCGAGTCGAAGCATGTTACCCCAAAAACAGGAAAAAACTGATTACTCCCAGCACAGTGAGTGCAAAACTGATCAGTAGAAGCCAATCAGCCCAATATCTTGTGTATTTTTATTGCATTCTGTTTTTTACAGTTACTTAATAAAATAAAGGCAGAAGAGAAGCACAAGCAGCTGTTACATGCGCCAAGTTTGCTTTAAAGAGATTGTGAACGCGAGACAAGCATTGATGTTCTATTTTAGGACTGATATGTACTATAAACTTATCAATCATTTCATCCCACAACGCCCATCCCACGGATCAATAAATGCAAGTAATCACACAGCCACATGGAAAATGAACACCCAGAGAATTAAAGCATAATATATATATATATCAGTTTTAATTTTGTCGACTAAAGTTTTTGAGATTTAGTCGACTAAAACTAGACTAAAACAAACCATTCAGGTGACTAAAATACGACTAAAACTAAAATGGCTTTTTAGTCAAAAGACTATGACTAAAACTAAATTTAATTTGCCATCAAAATTAACACTGCACAGAGGGGCTGGGGAAGGGACAAAAGAGACAGACCAGTGCTTGGGAGAGAGACACCTAGAGGGGCTGGGAGGACACAAAGAGACACAGAGGGGTTGTGGAAGGGGCAAAAGAGACAGACCAGGGCTTGGAAGAGAGACACCTAGAGGGGCTGGGAGGACACAAAGAGATACAGAGGGGCTGGGGAAGGGGCAAAAGAGACAGACCAGGGCTTGGAAGAGAGACACCTAGAGGGGCTGGGAGGACACAAAGAGACACAGAGGGGCCATGGAAGGGGCAAAAGAGACAGACCAGGGCTTGGAAGAGAGACACCTAGAGGGGCAGGGAGGACACAAAGAGACACAGAGGGGCTGTGGAAGGGGCAAAAGAGACAGACCAGGGCTTGGAAGAGAGACACCTAGAGGGGCTGGGAGGACACAGAGAGACACAGAGGGGCTGGGGAAGGGGCAAAAGAGACAGACCAGGGCTTGTGAGACAGACACCTAGAGGGGCTGGAAGGACACAAAGAGGCACAGAGGGGCGCTGGAAGGGGCAAAAGAGACAGACAAAGGCTTGAGAAAGAGAGAGACCTAGAGGGGCTGGGAGGACACAAAGAGACACAGAGGAGCAGTGGAAGGGACAAAAGAGACAGACCAGGGCTTGTGAGACAGACAACTAGAGGGGCTGGGAGGACACAAAGAGACACAGAGGGGCTGGGGAAGAGACAGAGGCTTTAACTAAACCCATTAGATTTTAGTCATGTCAGATAAAATATACTGGAGATTTAGTCAACTAAAATACGACTAAAACTAAAATGAACACTGATATATGTATCCAATACAAAATATAAAACCAGTTATATGTCAAGATGTAATTTATGGAAACTGTCCAGCACTTTGTAAGAGATATTTGAAGTTATTAAACAGGGAACTGAAGGGAATTATTAACGGATTTACAGAAGAGGCTGCTGAATTGAGCAATTTTCACCCCGATTTACTGTTAGTTAATAAATCCCCTTGTCAGAAATGGTGGAAAGGAAATTCCCTTTACTGGCAGCCATCTTTACAGTTATTCTCAGCCGAAACACATCACGAGCCATTCTGCCAAGACATCGTATATTAGAAACTCCTTTATAACAGTTTACTTAAAATATATATCCCCAGACACGGCTCTGTGTCCACTGACACATTAATACCAGTTACCAAGATTAAAATAAAAATTAGAAACAGGTCTCTGGATAACATAGAGCGCAGAATGAGTTCGATATAAACTTTGCGCTAAGTTCTGTCTACACGAGGACTGGTCGGCAGAGGCGCCAATCAGGACGTTGTGCATGTACGCCAGACATATTATACCACTCTAGTTTTGTGGGTGTTGAACAGCATTGACAGAACCCCCCACACCATTACCCTATATCTTCTGCTCGAGATTACATGGAAATGTTATGAGAAATTCTTTCAAAACTGATTGTAATACTCTGATCATTGATGTAACTGGTATTATTTTTTTAATCATCGATTAAATACTAGTCAAATGTTTCAAATTCCTTTTAATCCAGAACTGAACGAATCACTCTTGGATTTACACGAGACTGGATTCGTTCAGATATAAAATTTGGTTCGGACGAACTATCAGATTTTTGCACAACTCTGTTAAATACTCTTTACTGTCTGTATCTGATTAATGAAGCCAAGAGACACTTTGAAACGGGAACGTATTGTTTGCCATTTTATTGATAATCATTAATTTCGCCATGTGTGGTCGACACGCAGATTGATGGACTGAATGAATTACACAATAATATTTCTCACTATATGATTCTTTAGTATATAAACAGTTGCTATTTCACTTGTTACATGCATCATTAATTAAATAAACATTTTATTATACCTCCTGGCTACAGTTTTAATCTTTGATAAAAAAAAGATATTTTTAAATCCCAGATTTAAAATGTAACCTGACATTTTAAAACAGCCTGATGCTACTTTAACAATAAATATATTTTACGGGCACATTTTATTAACAAACCATGATTGCACTTTATCGCTTATTTTATTATAGTTTATTCTAAATGCCTGACCTCAACAACATCATAGTGTACAAACAAAAAAAAAAGAGAGGAATACCACACACTTATTTAAATCCTGGTGCAACCAGGGGCAACCAGGTTGGCTGCCCCTCCTGTGATGGTTGAACATAAATTGTAGTCGAGGATTAATTAAGCATGTTTATTGTAATAGAGTGCAACGTTTCGATCCAACAAGCTTGAGAAAGATCCCTTGTAGGATTGAAACGTTGCACTCTGTTCAAATAAACCCGCTGAATTGATCCTTGAGTGCCTAGACTACAATCTTTGTTCAACCACAACAACATCATAGACATAAAAACACCACTGGCTCAGGGTATGTATGTTAATCCTCACACCTCAAATGCCTTCAGCCTCCCCTGATGACTTGTCTGCAGCTGCCCTCTAAGCATTGAGTCGCTGGTACTATCGAGGCCGCCATCTTGGCAAGATTCAGTTCCACTCCTTCTGTGTTGGCAAATTCACTTTACTTATTAATGAGTGCCTATTTCACAGCTTTTATCGGAGTTCACTTAGTACACAGAGAAGCATCAGGGACCTTTGGTGCGTGCAAGACAAATGAGAAACATGAATCCGATGCTTCTCTTTGAAATGCGCTATCAGCGTTCTGCATGATGACGCCAAACAAGAAGCCATTTGGGTTACTAGCCCGCTGTAGTGGTTACGATGCCAGGAGTACCCAGGCTTGGTTCTAGTTGCCATTCATTGGCTGAGAGTATCAGCTGATTGCAAACAAATTTCCACAGAATTGACAGTAGAATGACATGATGCCCTAATGACATTACTGCAAGTGGTGTTATACCTCGGACATCGTTTTACAGCAAAACATAGAGATTCCAGGCACCATCACCACATCAAATCAATGACATGCTCATTGTTCTTGGAGGAAGACCCTTTAGTGCCAGTCAGTTCTAGAGTCACTAAAAGCGTGATTTCAGACAAATATAAACATAATGGGAAGTGGGAAAGTCTCATAACGTATGGTAATAAGGCACAGAATCTATGCACAAAGACGTCATTAAGAGTCCCTTCAATATACTTGTTTTTTTTCATTCACCTAAAATAGGCAGCACTCATGCAGTAATTGGCTGAATATCACAGGGTCTTGTGGGGATTTGCCAAATGATATTTATTTTAGAAATAGTGCAAATTATAGAAAGAGGTACCGTTATCTTAACATACAAATAGTGCTTCTCATAAAATGTGTGTCGCAACAGACAAGAGATCTGCGGCTTTTGCAAGCTATTTTTATGTATACCAGCAATGGAAAAATGCATAATTAAATGCATGCCAGTTTTCATTTGGGATATCTCTCCTAAACAGTGATTTGTATTTATTTTCTGTCCCTTTAATGAATAACCCTCATATTAAGTTTAAATTAGTATCTTTGAGTATTACTATAAATACTTTATCCCTAGAAAAACCTCCGGGCACCCCAACAATTTAATCGGAATAAAGTTGTTATGGTGCCAAGTGGTCCCTTGAATCAGTTTATTTATAGGAGGTTACGAACAGCTTACCCCAAATTCTTCTCTCCAGCAACATGTAGCGGCACCCTTATCCAAGGCTGTCCGTGGGTTCCTCTTTGAGGTGGAAGGAAAGGGGAAGAACTAAAAAGCGCTAGTGAGAAAACGTTGTTAAACGCTTAATGGTAAGCTCGCAGGGACCACCGGCACCATCACAACGTTATACCGATGAATTTGTTATGGTGTTTGTTTGGGATATGGGTCAGTTATATCCAATGTTAAATAGTGTAGGGACTGGGTGAAAAAAACTGTAAATTGAACAATTAAAGAAGGCAGTCATGGTTGAAACACTGGGTTTGAAACCCAAACTGTGTCTTCTATAAGGATTCTGTCTGTGAGGCCCCATCCATGAGGGATCTAATTAGGATTGTAAAACGAGCTGCGTTGCGCACGATATTGCGAGGTTATGTTAATTCAGCCCATGTCTGGGATTTACTAACGATTCTGCAAGACGAGAGCACTATAAATCTTGGGCAAGCTGCGGCAATGGATCCTGTCCACGACCTTTGAAACACAGCGTGACCCCCACTACAGAGTGATGTAATGTGACTATAATCTACATCCATTACACGGTAATGCTGCTCATAAAACCTCGCTAAAGAACTGTCTGACACTGGAAGGGTTAAGAGTTGGATTTCCAGAAACTGTTTATGTTTTACAGTAAATTAACCCAAACCCATGTGCGCAAGTTAATTCAATGTATGATTTTATAGGCACAATGTACCTTGTTCTGCATCCCAATACTGGCCGTCACCCAGCAGAGAAAATTTCTCCCCGATGTACAGAGACTAATTATGTCCCCCTACTTCTTGTACAACAGCCCAACAAGTCGAAATGCAATCTTGGGACATCACTGGGCATATCCAATCTAAAATTTTTATTAGTTATAAGATAAACACCAATTTGTGACATTTATCTGTTTCTAACACATCTTTTGTATTTAATAAAATGTTACGTCTGCCTCTAGGCACGAGATGTAGCGTATGGATCATTTAGTACTGGGGACACAGTTTCTAAATGATGAAAAATAAATGTTATATTGTGTTTTACATATTTAAACATTTTTACGTGTCCACAAACATTAGTTTATACACAAACTTAATGTGCTAACAATTCATTCCACGTTTAAAGGGACACTATAGTCACCTGAACAACTTTAGCTTAATGAAGCAGTTTTGGTGTATAGAACAAGCCCCTGCAGCCTCACTGCTCAATCCTCTGCCATTTAGGAGTTAAATCCCTTTGTTTATGAACCCTAGTCACACCTCCCTGCATGTGACTTGCACAGCCTTCCATAAACACTTCCTGTAAAGAGAGCCCTATTTAGGCTTTCTTTATTGCAAGTTCTGTTTAATTAAGATTTTCTTATCCCCTGCTATGTTAATAGCTTGCTAGACCATGCAAGAGCCTCCTGTATGTGATTAAAGTTCAATTTAGAGATTGAGATACAATTATTTAAGGTAAATTACATCTGTTTGAAAGTGAAACCAGTTTTTTTTCATGCAGGCTCTGTCAATCATAGCCAGGGGAGGTGTGGCTAGGGCTGCATAAACAGAAACAAAGTGATTTAACTCCTAAATGACAGTGAATTGAGCAGTGAAATTGCAGGGGAATGATCTATACACTAAAACTGCTTTATTTAGCTAAAGTAATTTAGGTGACTATAGTGTTCCTTTAAGATTTCAAATAAAAGCTATACTTTTTGTAATAATTACAAATATGTATACAGTGCCAAAATATTCTGCAGTGCTGTACAATAGGTACAGACAAACAAACACTAAATTCTAACAAAGCAGAATTAACCAGTACAGTAGTTGAATACAATCTGAAACCAAGAATAACTGCCCGTTGAATGAATCAATGACTGGCAGTGTGTGTGCCTGGCATTGTGTGTTTGTGTGTTAGTGTGTGTGTGTCTGGAAATGTGTATCTGTGTTTGTTTGTAGCTAGAAATGTGCATCTGGGAGAGTGCATGAGCGTCCTGCGCAGTAGCTAGCACTGGCGAAGCTTCCCAGGAGGCGGGTGTTTCGGATGTGGGTCGGGGCGCTGCTTATATGTGCTGGTCTGGCGACCCTCTCCTGGCTTGCAGTCTCTCCTAGGTAAGCTGAACTTCGGAGAATATGTGTCTGTGAGTTTGTACCTTTGTGTAAGTGTGTGAGTGTGTGCCCACAACATTGTTTTGTAATTGTGCAATTTTGTGATTTTTTGATTTTGCCATTCTTATCCCGTAATTCCATGCCCAGCAGAGGATCATGGGATAAGCAGTTTATCTCACAGAGTAGTTGCAAACATCTCATGATGTACAGCTCTTTAAACAGATAGCGTCCATTGCGTCCATACGGTTTAGTGTCTCAGAGGGTTCTACAGAGATACAGAGCTACTGGCCACACAAGCGCAGTCTATGACCTGAATTTCTCTCCAGGCTGCCTGATTGACAGGTTTGGTAGTCTGTTATTTACGAATTTTCACAAATCATTGCCTCCGCAAACTTAGAGACCATGTACTTTGAAATAACGTGAAGTGCTTATGGTGCTTAGACGGACCCTTTAAGATATGTCTTGCCTTACAAGATAAAAAGCGCAACCTGCAGAATTATAATTTCTGCAACTAATTTGAAATTAGTGAATATAAACTATTTATCATTTCTTATTTTAATAGCAGCCATAAATGCCAATTAAAATAACGAGATATCTAGAAACATTCAATTAATCTTCATTTAGCGTGGTTAATGGAACAGAAATGATGAATAGGCGGGTGGATTTGACATTACACACAAACGCTTCCAATTCGGAATCCGATGGATTTTTATTTATTTACACTCTGACAATTACTGGATTCCATACTTTGTTTTGCGCTGACAGTTGGCGCTAAACTCGTTACCTGCGGGATAGATTCACAGCTAATTAATATTAGAAAACAGAAATGATGAAACGGGTCAGGTTAAACAGGAACTGATTTTCACTAAATCCCAACACCTGCGAAACATAAAAATGGAGAGCTGGATTGGACTCCAATAAACGATAACGAGTGTCCAATTAATCTGCTGTTAGTTTATGCCATCGAGGATGCTAATGATTTATCTCTTTATGTGACTATTAGATGAGATTTTGATGTGAATATTATAGTATATAAATGTATCTATTAAAGGAACATTCTATTATTACGCTATTTGTCCATCTATTTGTAGTGACGCCCTTTAAAATAAATATTCTAACTCCCACTTGAAGTTATTTTTTTATTCAAGCACTGAATCCGCCTGTTTATAGCAGCCCGATCCGCCTCCTCTGAAGCCATCAGACACTATTGTCCAATCATAACTCCAAGCATTAACAACATATACAAAGCTATGGGCAATGCTGTCAATTAAAGGCTTCTCTTAAAGAAACTGTCACGGTTCAGGAACCAGACAGACGGACAGATCACAAGAGGAGCAATTGCAATACCGGTCCTTAGAGTGGCCGGGCTATGTACCAGCCAAAGTCAAAGGAGTATAGAGATACGGAACAACGATAGGACAGAGAAGACAGAGTAAATGAGAGACAGAGCCACAATTCAGTAAGTAACGATCAGACAGAGTAAACACGCTATTGGGCTATCAGAAGACCACAACAGGGCAACAAGGCACGGAGGAGGTGAGTTTAAATATGCTTATACTACTTCTGATTGGATCGTTTCTACTTAGAATTAATTACAACACGTGGAAGGCATTTGACCCTTCCAGTTTGAGCCCTGACACCATCATTATGCGCCGTGTCAGATGGCTGACTCGGGCGCATATTTAAGCACTGATGGCTACAAAGACTGTGAATTATGTGCTTAAATAATTAATAAATAGTGTATAAGTGACAGCTGCTACACACTCCAGTGGGAATCTCCCTTACCCACTAGAAGATACAATAAAAGGAAAGTCTATATCCGACTAGGTTTGAAATACATCAGACCAGGTCGTATATATGAGTGGAGCGCTATAGATAGGTGGAGAAATAGTAATTGCACTTACTCCAAACAGAAGAAATAGTCAAATATTGGTAGAACATAAATGGGGTAGAGAAACAAATCACATAATATAAATCCGTGATGGATACGTGGTAATTAAGAAGAGACTATGAGATGTACACTCACATGGATAAGCGCCTCTAGATGGACAGGCTGAAATCACACCAGCATCTGTGCCGTCTGGTGGCACTTGACCCTTGGTGGTCCCAGTAAATAAAAATTAAACAGACCGCTTATGGTGTAGTATATTGTGCCATATGAACAATTACTTAAATAAAAGTGCAAGAAAATGCTCACCTTTTCATGTGGTAGAGGGGTGTTTTAAATTAAAAACCCACCGCAACTCGCATTTTCCCATTTTTCTGATTAAATCTTCTCCCCTCCAGTTTGTTTTAATTAACTGTATACCAGTAAAACTCTTTGTTTCTGTTTAAAATGTAGTGATAATCTGTGCTGTTCAAAGCCGTTTCTAATATTTCTCACATGTTTCTGTATACAGGGGTTTTAAAGGTCGTGATGTCCTCCCCACGTATACCAAACCGCACCTGCATGTTATAAGGTATACATCTTTCTTGGAATGGCCAGTAATAAGATCTTTAATTAAGTATTTATCCACTAAATTAGAAAGTTTATTAAATTCATTAGTGAATCTCTTTTTGTTGCCTGTATTCTAACAGGCAATCCGTACCCCGCGTCCTTAGAAACCCACCGGCTCATTGAACGCATTGAATTTCTTTTTGGACTTAATGTGGTTTTGTACCAAGTTCCTGTTTAAATTTGGGACTCCCCTAAATGTTATTGTTGGTTTCTCTGGGAGAAATGTATTAAGGATTTCGTCACCTCTGAGTATGGGCCAATATTTACTTACTATTCGTTTGAAGATATGGCTTCTGTGGTTAAAGTCACAAATTAAGGTTATTTGTTATTTATTTTTTTGTCTTATTTTTCTGTTTATGCTCCAAAAGGGGTAGTCTTTCTTCTTTTTTTACATCACTATATGCTTTTTTTAGTAGATTTTTTTGATATCCCTTATCCTTAAGATCTCCTAAAATCTTTTTCGCTTGTGTGTGAAACCGTGTTTTCCGAACGATTCCTTTGATCCTTAGGAGTTCGGCGTTGCTCTTCTCACAGGACCTGGCTGCTGTTCCTAGACAGGCCCAGCAGGTGGCGCATGGAACACCTTTGAGGAAAACAATGGAAGGTGGAATTCAGAGTAATCTGCCTGGACCTTCTGCGCTTTTATGCCGCGGTCAGATCGCTGGGCATTGATTGGTGAGTACGGTGTTACTTCTTCTTTTATCCAGTCGGGTCCCGCGTTGGGTGGGTTCCTTTCAGGTTTGCAGGATTTTTTAGATCAGTGGGAACAGTCGGGAAAAAATTAATGGGAACTCCACTCTGGATAATCAGCTCAGGACGGTTTGGACCCCAGAAAAATTGCCCACTACTGCGCAGTCCTAGGGGCCCCTTGTGTCTATGGTGGTAGTTGGTAATGGTCTGTTGGCTTCGGCAACCTCGGGTTCCCCTTTGCCTGCAGCGTCCTGCGCAGTAGCTAGCACTGGCGAAGCTTCCCAGGAGGCGGGTGTTTCGGATGTGGGTCGGGGCGCTGCTTATATGTGCTGGTCTGGCGACCCTCTCCTGGCTTGCAGTCTCTCCTAGGTAAGCTGAACTTCGCCTGTTGGATTTTTCCCATGTGGCGAGTCTTTAACAGGAGTCTGGCTGCGGCGACGTCAGTGGTCACCCGCCCACAGCACTTTATTCGGCTTACTCGGCCATTGCAGGATGACCTGACTTATATTAAGGAAAGATAAAGATTAAAATAAATTATGGATGTGTTATGCAGTATTTTATCACATTTTATAATAAATGCTATTGCCTGTTTCATCCATACTACGTTGTCTGTCATTATTTGGGGGGGTAAGTGGGATGGTTCTCTGTTTTAATGCGGCAGACTGGGACCCTGCCGGGGAGAGGGGGCTGGTGAGGTCAATGTCAGGCTCTGTCAGCTGCTCTGCTCCTTGATCTGTCTGAACCTGCTGTCTGGAGCTCGTAGACAGCTGGGCAGAATGTTAAATCCTGGGGTCACGGCAGCCCGAACCCTAACAGAACAACTTAGCTAATTTAATACAAGATAACACCAGCTAGAGGTTTAACCCCTTAAGGACACATGACATGTGTGGCATGTCATGATTCCCTTTTATTCCAGAAGGTTGGTCCTTAAGGGGTTAAGGAAAGCAGTCCTAATGACACTTATTGCAACATTTAGAAAAAGATTCTCTTTCCGTTGGAAATATCATATAATAGTGCATATATTTGGTTTTATGTGGATGTTTGTGCAATGCAGGGGTACTCCTGAGGGGTGGTAGCTGGCAGGGGTTGGAGACCCGAATCGGTCCCCAAAATTCCAGGTAGACTTTGTGCCCCAAATCCCCTGTACTACTGAGAGAGAATAACACCTTCCGTTATAGACCGTATGACAGAGCCGCCTAATTGCACCTTATATGAGGTCATTACAGAGTACAGCGTGGGGGGACTGCGGTGGCTGCAGGGTTAATACACCACGGCTCGAGGTTAATACAGC